CTGGATTAGAGGTGTGAGGCACCGTGCCTAACCCTGAACAACAGCATGCTTAAACTTAGGACCCAATAGTATCAGTGTGGGACTGAAAGGACATCTTGAGTTAAACAGGCTCCTGCGGGCTAGTTGTACAGGGTCTTTGGGTAGCCATGAAAGACATGTCTACCTGAGTTTATCTAGCTTTCCTGCCAGGAAGTCAAGGGAGAGATTAGAGAAGCTGAAATCTGCTGGGCACAGTGGCTCCTACCTATAATTCCAGCACTTTGCAGGGGCCAAAGTAGGATGATTGCCTGAGGTTAGGAGTTTGAAGCCAGTTTGAACAACATAGGGAGATCCTGTCTCTACAAAAATGCTTTCTTCTTTTTTTTTTTGAGACAGAGTCTCGCTCTGTCGCCCAGACTGGAGTGCGGTGGTGCGATCTCGGCTCACTGCAACCTCCGCCTCCTGGGTTCAAGCGATTCTCCTGCCTCAGCCTCCTGAGTAGCTGGGATTACAGGCGCGTGCCAACACACCCAGCTAATTTTTGTATTTTTAGTATAGACGAGGTTTCACTACGTCGGTCAGGCTGGTCTCGAACTCCTGACCTTGTGATCTGCCCGCCTCGGCCTCCCAAAGTGCTGGGATTACAGGTATAAGCCACTGCGCCTGGCCTGCAAAGTGTTTTTCTTTTTTTTTTTTTTTTTTTTTGAGACGGAGTCTCGCTCTGTCGCCCAGGCTGGAGTGCAGTGGCGCAATCTCGGCTCACTGCAAGCTCCGCCTCCCGGGTTCACGCCATTCTCCTGCCTCAGCCTCCCGAGTAGCTGGGACTACAGGCGCCCGCCCCTGCGCCCGGCTAATTTTTTCTATTTTTAGTAGAGACGGGGTTTCACCATGGTCTCGATCTCCTGACCTTGTGATCCGCCCACCTCGGCCTCCCAAAGTGCTGGGATTACAGGCGTGAGCCACCACGCCCGGCCTGCAAAGTGTTTTTCTAATGAACCACAGAAGTGCCAAGAATTGGGCACAGAAGCCCACCTTTTAAAGGGGACAGACTTAAGAAAACATTCAACTGTGGCAAAAATGCCGGGGCACCTTGCACTTAAAATACAATTTCCTGAACCACTTCTGAACTGAAGAATGAAATATATTAGGGCTCTTCCCCTCTCCCCTTTAAGAAATTGACTGGAAAGCTTTAAGGATAAAATCGGAGGTAGAAGATGAAGACCAAAGCAGAAAACAAGATGCCATAAAAAGAGCTGTCATATGAAAAGTCTATCTCTGGAAGGTAAGTTCAATCATTAATTTTAGGAAAAACTAGTAACAACAAGGGCAAGAAATGATCTCATGGCCTTAGAAGTAAGGTAAAAATACAAAGCTCTAGCAAGGAGAGAAAAATCACAGCACGAAGACTTGGTGAAATGTAACCAAGGTGTCATTCCTTAATGTTCCTGGGCCTCAGTTTAATTCAAAATGATTGGATCAGTGGCTCTCAATCCTTAATGTCCACCAGAGTCACCTGCAAGGCTTGTTCAGACACAGATAGCTGGATCCCAGACATTCAGTAGGTTTGGACTGAGGCCTAAGAATTTAGATTTCTTTTTTTTTTTTTTTGAGACGGAGTCTTGCTCTGTCGCCCAGGCTGGAGTGCAGTGGCCGGATCTCAGCTCACTGCAAGCCCCGCCTCCTGGGTTTACGCCATTCTCCTGCCTCAGCCTCCCGAGTAGCTGGGACTACAGGCGCCCGCCACCTCGCCCGGCTAGTTTTTTGTATTTTTTAGTAGAGACGGGGTTTTACTGTGTCAGCCAGGATGGTCTCAATCTCCTGACCTCGTGATCCGCCTGTCTCGGCCTCCCAAAGTGCTGGGATTACAGGCTTGAGCCACCGCGCCCAGCCTTAGATTTCTTTTTGTTTGTTTGCCTTTGAGACAGTCTTACTCTGTCACTCAAGCTGGAGTGCATGATCACTGCTGACTGCAGCCTCTATCTCCTGGGCTCAAGCGATCCTTCTGCCTCAGCCTTCCGAGTAGCTGGCACCAGTCATCTGCCACCATGCCTGGCTAACTTTTAAACTTTTTTTGTGGAGACGGGATCCCACTATGTTGCCTAGCTGAGAATTCAGATTTCTTTCTTTTTTTTTTTTTTTGAGATGGCATCTCGTTCTATCGCCCAGCCTGGAGTACAATGGCATGATCTCGGCTCACTGCAACCTCCGCCTCCTGGGTTCAAGCGATTCTCCTGCCCCAGCCTCCTGAGTAGCTGGGACTACAGGCGCCCTCCACCATGCCCAGCTAATTCTTATATTTTTAATAGAGATGGGGTTTCACCATGTTGGCCATGATGGTCTCGATCTCTTGACCTCACGATCCGCCCGCCTCGGCCTCCCAAAGTGCTGGGATTAAAGGTGTGAGCCGCCGCACCCGGCTGAGAATTCAGATTTCTAACAAACCCCAGGTGATGATGCTGCTGGTGGAGCATACCAAGAACCAGAAAAAAAGCAAGCTTGCTGCCAAAGAACCCTGGGGTTTTCTCCTTCCTCCTGTACAGCTTGGAAATGGTCTACGTGGGGAACCCTAAAATTCAGGGAGAAGACAGAGAGCCTCCAGGGCTCTGGCTCTGGACACACCTCACCTTTCCAGCCTGCATTCAAGCCACAAGGGATGGCAAGGAGTCAAGTGACCATAGCGGCTTGCTTCCCCTTGAACCAACTTGCTGCTAAAGTGTTGACTTAGGTCTATTTCTGAATTCAATCTGGGAGCCACTGTCTGACCTCCCAAGTATATGGTGACCAATGAATGAATAACTCCAATGTCACACATCCTCAGAGAGAGCTCTCTGGAAGAAACAAACAATAAGGCCAAAACTTACTTGCTCCAAATTGACAACCAGACAGACTAAAGTTCTTTCTCACTTCAATGAACATTTATCCTTCCCCACCCATAGGACCAGAGATGACAGATACCTTCGTATGACATTCCTCAGAATGAGGGAGAGATAAGTAGCAGACCCCGAGGTTTTCCACCATGGCAGTGGTCAGGAAGAGTGGAGGACAGCCTCATGGCACCAATTCCTGGACCTAGAGATCTTCAGCTGCATCAAAGAGACACTTGGCTCCTATCACCTCACATAAAACAGTTACTCAGTCAAGTAAGTATATGCTACTTGAATTGTGACTATGTCTTCTGTCATCTACCTTGTAATGTGTGTTATTTCTAGTTGCCTCAATTGGACTATAAAATCTGAAGGCAGGGAGGGGTCCAATCTAACACAGCTTTGAATGTCCAAAATGACATCAGGACAGTGACTGGCACACAGGAGGCACTAAAAAAAATAATTGAGGCTGGGTGTGGTGGCTCATGCCTGTAATCCCAGCACCTTGGGAGGCCAAGGCGGGTGGATCACCTGAGGTCAGGAGTTCAAGACCAGCCTGGCCAACATGGCAAAACCCCATCTCTACTAAAAATACAAAAATTAGCCAGGCATGGTGGCACACGCTTGTAGTCCCAGCTACTTGCGAGGCCGAGGCAGGAGTATCGCTTGAACTGGGAGGTGGAGGTTGCAGTGAGCCGAGATTGTGCCAATGCATACTCCAGCCTGGGCAACAGAGTGAGACTCCATCTAAAAAAATTAAAATAATAATAATAATAATAAAATGTAGGCCGGGCGTGGTGGCTCACGCCTGTAATCCCAGCACTTTGGGAGGCTGAGGCGGACGGATCATGAGGTTAGGAGATCAAGACCATTCCAGCTCACAAAGTGAAACCCCGTCTCTACTAAAAATACAGAAAATTTAGCCGGGCATGGTGGCAGGCACCTGTAGTCCCAGCTACTTGGGAGGCTGAGGCAGGAGAATGGTGTGAACCCGGGAGGCGGAGCTTGCAGTGAGCGGAGATTGCGCCACTGCACTCCAGCCTGGGTGACAGAGCGAGACTCCGTCTCAAAAGAAAAAAAAAAAATGCTGGGCACGGTGGCTCACACCTGTAATCCCAGCACTTTGAGAGGCCGAGGCGGATGGATCACCTGAGGTCAGGAGTTCGAGACCATCCCAGCTCACACAGTGAAACCCTGTCTCTACTAAAAATACAAAAATTAGCTGAGTATGGTGGCGGGTGCCTGTAATCCCAGCTACTCAGGAGGCTGAGGCAGGAGAATCACCTGAACCCAGGAGGCGAAGGTTGCAGTGAACCGGGATTGCGCCAGCGCACTCCAGCCTGGGCAACAACGGTGAAACTCCGTCTCAAACGAAACTAAACTAAACTAAACTAAAATAAAATAAAAATTTCTGGCTGAATGTTTACTGGTTTACTTACTAAACTAGGTTCTGATTTATATTAGATAAAGAGAAGAAGTTGACTCCAGTTGACTAGAAAGAGACCAATGGGAACTGCAGGAGAACAGCTCAGCAGGCCACGCCCAGCCAGGGGCAGGAGGTTACCAAGCCAAAATTTCCCAAGGGAGTGGAGATGTCATGTGAGCAGGCTGTCAACGGATCTTGTCAGGGAAGCCAATGCTGTCAGAGCCTTCCTGTCCTCTGGCAATACAAGACTGCAATTCGGCAGGAAGGGTGTGTGCTCACTATAGTCAAACGCTGACAAAACATGGGAAATGGTAGCCTTGCTACACAGCCTCTCCTTCCTGTGGTGCTGTATGCCCCAGAAATGGGAGAACAAACACACCAGTCACAAGCAATTCCCCGGCGCCCAGGGCTCGGACCTCTAACTTCACATAAACCTCAAAGTTTATGAACCATCTCCAGCCCCTTGATGGCTGTCTCTTAGAGTATTTCCTTAGTTTCTGTTCAGGGATTTATAGATGGGAGGTAGGTTAGGCTATGTCTTTTTTCTCCTATAGTTATAAGAACTCCCAATATGCCCTCCCCAAGCACTGCTTCAGGGACAAGTGATGTCCCAGAGTTCTCCTCCCTGCAGATGCGAGCCTAGGACGGAGAGCTCAGAGGAGGGGAGTGACCCTCAGAGGACTGCCCAGAGGGAGACACGATCTGCCCCTGCCGTGGCCTGCCGGGCGTACCTAGAGCCTTCACGGATATCTGCCGGGTGAGTGGAGGGGGGATGCTGATGCACACCAGATCCACGTCTTGATGCAGCAAGATGTCATCAGTCCGGCTGGTATAGAAGGCGATGTTCATCTCCTCAGCAAGCTGCTTTGCCTCCTCCTCAGTCTTCCCCCACAGGGCCTCAACAGTGAACCCTTCTGCCCTCAGCAGTGGGACCAGAACTCGGGCGGAGCTGCCAGTCCCAAACACGCCCACTCCTGGCAGCATCTTCATCCCGGCCTCTCTCTTTACCAACTCATCTCCTCACAAGAGCCTCCGGCATGGATATGATCTTCCAAACGTCCTGGTCAGACATGGCTCCTAGAATAGCAAGCATTACACTGGTCATTACTGGAGAAGACACTCAGCTGAGGCTACTTTCTTCTTCTTTTTTTTCAGATGGAGTCTTGCTCTGTCGCCCAGGCTGGAGTGCAGTGGTGCGAAGGCTACTTTCAAATAAGGAAGCAACAAGTTCTCTGCCAGAAAAGCACAAATGAAATACGGCTCAAGGCCAGGCATGGTGGCTCACGCACGCCTGTAACCTCAGCATTTTGGGAGGCCGAGGTGGGAAGATCACTTGAGGCCAGGAGTTTGAGAGTAGCCTGGGCAACATGGCGAGATGTCATCTCTATAAAAAAAAAATTTAAAAATAGCCGGATGTGGTGGCATGCGCTCATTGTAGTCCTAGCTACCTGGGAGGCTGAGGTGAAAGGATCACATGAGCCCAGGATTTCACAACTGTAGTGAGCTATAATTGCACTACTGCATTCCAGCTTGGGCAACAGTGCAAGACCTTGTCTCGAAAGAAAAAACAAATACTGTTCCAAGATGAAAAACTGTAGATTCTTCTTCTTCCATGGAGACTGAATGATAGGAGGAAAAATGGAAAATGAATAAAGCTGGATTTAAGTCTCTGTTCGGCTACTTAATTTTCTGTGTAACCCTGGTCAAACCATTCAACCTTCAAGGCCTTAAATGTATAATAAGGGGAGTGATTGATCTTTAAAGTTCCTTCTTGCTGTAAAAGTTCATGATTCTATATATGACAAAGAAAAAGAAGAGCGGAGGCCAGGTACAGTGGCTCACACCGGTAATCCCAGCACTTTGGGAGGCCAAGGTGGGTGGATCGCCTGAGGTAAAGAGTTCAAAACCAGCTGGGTCAACATGGTGAAACCCCATCTCTACTAAAAATACAAAAAAATTTAGCCAGGCATGGTGGCAGATGCCTATAATCCCAGCTACTCAGGAAGCTGAGGAAGTAGAATCACTTGACCCAGGAGGCAGAGGTTGCAGTGAGCCGAGATCACACTATTGCACTCCTACCTGGGTGACAGAGTGAGACTCCGCTGTCTCAAAAAAAAAAAAAAAAAAAAAAAAGAAGAAGAAGCTGGGCGCGGTGGCTCACGCCTGTAATCCCAGCACTTTGGGGGGCTGAGGCGGGCAGATCATCCGAGGTCAGGAGTTCGAGACCGGCCTGGCCAACATGGCCAACCCCGTCTGTATTAAAAATACAAAATTAGCCAGGCGTGGTGGTGCATGCCTGTAGTCCTAGTTACTTGGGAGGCTGAGGCAGGAGAATTGCTTGAACTCAGGAGGCAGAGGTTGCAGTGAGCCGAGATCGCGCCACTGCACTCCAACCTAGGCAACAAGAGGGAGACTCTGTCTAAAAAAAAAAAATAAGGAAAGAAGGAAGGAAGGGAGGGAGGGAAGGAGGAAGGGAGGGAGGGAGGGAGGGAGAGAGGGAGGGAGGGAGGGAGGGAGGGGGGGAGAGAGAGAGGGAGGGAGGGAGGGAGGGAGGGTGGAAGGGAGGAAGGGAGGAACGAAGGAAGGAAGGAAGGAAGGAAGGAAGGAAGGAAGGAAGGAAGTCGCGTGAGGTGGCTCATGCCTGTAATCCCAGCACTTTGGGAGGCTGAGGCGGACGGATCACTTGAAGTCAAGAGTTCGAGACCAGCCCGGCCAACATGGTGAAACCCCGTCTCTACCAAAAATATAAAAAATTAGCCGGGTATGGTGGTACATGCCTGTAGTCCCAGCTACTCGAGGGGCTGAGCCAGGTGAATCACTTGAAGCTGGGAGGTGAAAGTTGCAGTGATCCGAGATTGTGCCACTGCACTCCAGCGTGTGTGACAGAACGAGATTCCATCTCAAAAAAAAAAAAAAAAAAAGGCCGGGCGTGGTGGCTCAAGCCTGTAATCCCAGCACTTTGGGAGGCCGAGGCGGGTGGATCACGAGGTCAGGAGATCGAGACTATCCTGGCTAACATGGTGAAACCCCGTCTCTACTAAAAATACAAAAAACTAGCCGGGCGTGGTGGCGGGCGCCTGTAGTCTCAGCTACTTGGGAGGCTGAGGCGGGAGAATGGCGTGAACCCGGGAGGCGGAGCTTGCAGTGAGCCGAGATCACGCCACTGCACTCCAGCCTGGGAGACACAGTGAGACTCCGTCTCAAAAAAAAAAAAAAAAAAAAAAAAAAAAGAATGGACAACAAAAACCAGTTCAAGAGGAAAGTGAAAGAACTAATTGCTACGTAGATTAAGTATAATTAAAATTTTTATGGTAGCAAACATAGGAAAATGCTCACTAGAAAAAAAAAATACCAAAAAACTTTTTCCATCAAACTGGCTAAAATAAAGCGTATACTTAAAAAGATTTTATTGGGCTGGGTGTGGTGGCTCATGTGTCTGCAATCTCAGCACTTTGCGGGGCCAAAGCAGGAGGACTGCTTGAGATCAACAATTCAAGACCAGCATAAGCATCATAGTGAGACCCCCATCTCTACTTTAAAAAAAAAAAAAATTAGCCCGGCATAGTGGCATGTGCCTATAGTCCCAGCTGTTTGGGAGGCTGAGGTAGGAGGATCGCTTGAGCCCAGGAGTCCAGACTGCCGTGAGCTATGACAGTGCTACTGCACTCCAGCCTGAGCAACAGAGTGAGACTGTCTCAAAAAAGGTTTTTTTGTATACAGATATTTACTATAGCATTGGCTATCATAATGAAAAACTGGGAGACAATCTAGATGTCCAATACAAGTAATGGGTTAGACAAAGAATGCTGTGGAGCTACCGAAAACCATGAAGTAGAAGGCCCTCAATAACCTGAAAGACATTCACCACATAGTCACTGAAAGGGGAAAACACACACTATTAGAAGTATGGGTTTTTTTTTTAAAAGCACACAAAAGAAGGATAATAGGTATGAGAATATATAAGGATATCTGTAATATATCTATAAAAATATCTCTATTCAATGCTGTAGAAGGACCAGAATACTACTGAATTTGCTGCTGAGGTGGATGGGATTATGAATGATTTTTGTTTCTTTTCAATTTTTTTTGAACTTTGCAAATTTTTTGAGACATGATTATGCCTTATTCATTGTAGAGTTTTTCTTCTGATCACAAGGGTTATACAATAAATAATAAAACCAAACAAAAGTCCTTTGCTTGGGATCAATGTCATGTGAGAAAACCAAGATGAGATGTAGGTGTGCTCAGAATATCCAGGTTCTCCATCCAACATTTCCCTCAGCTAAACCAGCAGCTCCCCACTCTGTATTAGCGTCATTGGTGACCCTAGACCCACTGAATCAGACGAGAGCGATGTGGGCCACATCATCATTTTTTCTCTTTTTAAACTTTAATGTAATTTTTTAAATTGTGGTACAATATACATAAAATTCACTTTTTTTTTTTTTTTGAGATGGAGTCTCGCTGTGTTGCCCAGGTTGGAGTGCAGTGGCGTGATCTCGGCTCACTGCAGGCTCCGCCTCCTGGGTTCACGCCATTCTCCTGCCTCAGCCTCCCAAGTAGCTGGGACTACAGGGGCCTACCGCCATGCCCAGTTAATTTTTTTTGTATTTTTAGTAGAGATGGGGTTTCACCATGTTAGCCAGGATGGTCTCAATCTCCTGACCTCATGATCCGCCCACTTCGGCCTCCCAAAGTGCTGGGATTACAGGCATGAGCCACAGCGCCCGGCCTATTTTTTGCTTTTTTAAAGACAGAGTCTCACTCTGTCGCCCAGGTTGGAGTGCAGTGGTGCAATCTCGGCTCACTGGAACCTCCCCCTCCCTGGTTTCAAGCAATTCTCCTGCCTCAGCCACACGTGTAGCTGGGATTACAGGTGTGTGCGATCACCCCCGGCTAATTTTTGTATTTTTGGTAGTGACAAGGTTTCACCATGTTGGCCAGGCTGGTCTCGAACTCCTGAGCTCAAGCGATCTACCCACCTTGGCCTCCCAAAGTGCTGGGATTACAGGTGTGAGGCACCACACCCAGCCCATCTTAACTTTTTTTTTTTTTTTTTTTTGAGACAGAGTCTTGCTCTGTCGCCCAGGCTGGAGTGCAGTGGCGCAATCTCGGCTCACTGCAAGCTCCGCCTCCCGGGTTCACGCCATTCTCCTGCCTCAGCCTCCTGTGTAGCTGGAACTACAGGTGCCCGCCACCACGCCTGGCTAATTTTTTGTATTTTTAGTAGAGACGGCGTTTCACCGAGTTAGCCAGGATGGTCTTGATCTCCTGATCTTGTGATTCGCCCGCCTCGGCCTCCCAAAGTGCTGGGATTACAGGCGTGAGCCACCGCGCCCGGCCCATCTTAACTATTTTTAAGTATATACATCAGTGGTATTAAATACATTTACAGCTGGGCGCAGGGGCTCACGCCTGTAATCCTAGCACTTTGGTAAGCAGAGGAGGGTGGATCACCTGAGGTCAGGAGTTCGAGACCAGCCTGACCAACATCGTGAAACCCCATCTCTACTAAAAATACAAAAATTAGCCGGCCTGGTCGCACGTGCCTGTAATTCTAGCTACTCGGGAGGCAGAGACAGGAGAATTGCTGGAACCTGGGAGGCGGAGGATGCAGTGAGCCGAGATCAAGCCACTGCACTCCAGCCTGGGTAACAGAGCAAGAATCTGTCTCAAAATAAAATAAAATAAAATAAATAAGTAAATAAATAAATACATTTACATTGTTGTGTAACCATCAGCACCACCCATCTCTGGAACTCTTTTCACCTTGCAAAACTAAAAACTCTTTAAATAATACCCATTATGGCCGGGCGCGGTGGCTCAAGCCTGTAATCCCAGCACTTTGGGAGGCCGAGGCGGGTGGATCACGAGGTCAGGAGATCGAGACTATCCTGGCTAACATGGTGAAACCCCGTCTCTACTAAAAAATACAAAAAACTAGCCGGGCGTGGTGGCGGGCGCCTGTAGTCTCAGCTACTTGGGAGGCTGAGGCGGGAGAATGGCGTGAACCCGGGAGGCGGAGCTTGCAGTGAGCCGAGATCACGCCACTGCACTCCAGCCTGGGAGACACAGCGAGACTCCGTCTCAAAAAAAAAAAAAAAAAAAAAAAAAAAATACCCATTATTCCCATTAAATAATAACTTCCCATTCCCTCTACCCCCGCCCCAGCCCCTGGCAACCATTATTCTACTTTGTCTCTATGAATTTGACTACTTTAGATACCTCATATAAGTGAAATCATACATTATTTGTGCTTCTGTCATGGGCTTATTTCGGTTAGCATAATGCCTTCAAGGTTCACCCTTACGAAACTTGTAGCATATGTCAGGACTTCCTTCCTTTTCAAGGCTGAGTAATACGCCATTGTATGGCTGATACATTCCTCTATCAATGGACACCTGGATTGCTTCCACGTTTTAGCTACTGTGAATAATACTGATATGAACATGGTGAACAAGAATCTCTTCTAGACTCTGCTTTCATTTGCTTGGAGCATATATCCAGAAGTGGAATTGCCAGGCCATGGTAATTAGATTTTTAATTTTCTGAGGAACCACATACTGTTTTCCACAGTGGCTGTACCATTTTACATTCCCTCCAACAGTGTGCAAGCCTTCTGATTTCTCCACGTCCTCACCAACCCTTGTTACTTTCTGGTGCTTTCTGTTGGTTAGCCATTCTGATGGAAGTGAGGTGACCATTATTCACTTTTTTTTTTTTTTTTTTTTTTTGAGACAGAGTCTCACTCTGTCACCCTGGCTGGAGTGGAGTGGCACTGGTCTTGAACTCCCAACTTCAAGGGATCCGCCCGTCTCGGTTGCCCAAAGTGCTGGGATTACAGGCGTGAGCCACTGTGCCTGGCCTCACCATTCACTTTTATCATTCACTTCTAAAGCTCCTCAGGTGATCCTAGTGTGTAGCCACCAGATGAGAACCTCTGAGCTATGTTTAACACATGTGAAAAATTATCTACATTTGGAGCCATAACAAAATGTCCTGTTTGTCATATGTACACTTTCCTGAACCTTCTCACCCTCTGTACTATGATTAAAAGGACAAATCTGTCATTAAGAGGGAAAAATCTCTAACACAACTATTTTAACTTCTATGTATTTCCTTCAGTAACATCATTTTTCCAATAATTTTATAAATACCATACAGTCCCTTTGTTTACCAATTACATTTATTGATTCTTTTTTGAGATGGAGTCTCACTCTGTCATCCAGGCTGGAGTGCAGTGGCATAATCTCAGCTCACTGCAACCTCCGCCTCTTGGGTTCAAACAATTCTTGTGCCTCAGCCTCCTGAGTAACTGGGACTACAGGCATGTGCCATCATGCCTGGCTAATTTTTTAATTTTTAGTACAGATGGGGTTTCCCCATGTTGGCCAGGCTGGTCTTGAACTCCTGACCTCAGGCGATCCGCCTGCCTTGGCCTCCCAAAGTGCTGGGATCACAGGTGTGAGCCACCGTGCCTGGCCTACCGATTACCTTTAAAAAGCTAACTACTCCTGATCTTGGTCACTATCACAATTTTTATTTTGAGACAGATTCTTGCTCTGTTGCCCAGGCTGGAGTGCAGTGGTTTGATCATGGCTCACTGCAGCCTCAACCTCACAGGCTCAAGGGATCCTCCCATCTCAGCCTCCCGAGTAGCTGGGATTACAGGTGCACACCACTGTGCCAGGCTAATTTTTGCATTTTCTGTAGAGATAGGGTTTCACTATGTCACCCAGGCTGGTCTCGAACTCCTGGCCTCAAGTGATCTGCCCACTCTGGCCTCCCAAAGTGCTAGGATTACAGGAGCAAGCCACATTGTGCCTAGACCAAAAAAAAAAAAAAAAATTAAGACTGCGGTAGGTCCCTCTGCATAGCACAGCTTCTGCTTTCTTTGAGATGACCAACTCCTGGAACTCCTCTCTACCCTGCATCTTCCCTCCTCTGTAAATCTTTTCTGACTGTACCCCACGAGGAGCTCCTCCCGCTGGACCTTCTATACACTTGCAATAGGAACTAAACTTATTCCTCTTTTGTGTCCTCAGGGCCACAAACACAGCAGGCCCTCCACTGATTAGTGAATGAATAAATTAATGAATTCACTGCGCTCAGTAAAGTGTTTTCTGGATGCGCCCACTCACTGGTGTCACCAGCTTCTGATGGCCACGTTTGTCCATGAAACACCAAAGTTACCCTTTGAAAACATACTGGAGGTTCTATCCTCACGTGCTGCTGATAGTGATATAGAATCGTACAGCTGTTCCGAGTAAGAAGTAATCTGGCCTTATTTATAATTAAAACTGCATTTTATGACTCACAAATTCTACTCGTGTGTGTGTGTGTTCCCAAAGAAATTCTCATAGGGATCCACTGATAAGGGATACAAAGATATTTACCACATCATGTCTGAGGTGCAGAGTTGGAGACAATCTGGGGGTCAGAAGCGGGCAGGTAAAGTGTGGGGGATGTACCCACTGGGGTTCTCTGCAAGTTAGAAACAATACTAGATGAATATAGTCACATGAATGAACTTGGTAAAAAAAAGAAAACACAGTGAGCTCTAATACATTATTTATATAAGCTAAAAATACACACACAGGCTGAGTGCAGTGGCTCACACCTGTAATTCCAGCACTTTGGGAGCCAGAGGCGGGTGAATCACCTGAGGTCAGGAGTTCACGACCAGCCTGGCCAACATGACAAAACCCCATCTCTACTAAAAAATAAAAAAAATTAGCTGGGTGTGATTGTGCACGCCTGTAGTCCCAGCTACTCAGGAGGCTGAGGCAGGAGAATTGTTTGAACCCGGGAGGCAGAGGTTGCAGTGAGCCGAGATAATGCCACTGCACACCAGCTTGGGCGACAGAGCAAGACTCTGTCTCAAACAAAACAAAACAAAACAAAACCCCACACACATACACAGAAACAAAAATGCTTCACAGGAACTTTTACAAACAAAAGGATACATACTAAATACATTTACAGGGGATAGGGAAACCAGAGTAGAGAAAGGGGATAAAGGAGAATAATTAAAAAAAAAAAAAAAAAAAAAAAGGCCGGGCACAGTGGCTCGTGCCTGTAATCCCAGCACTTTGGGAGGCCGAGGCGGGCGGATCATGAGGTCAGGAGTTCAAGACCATCCTGGCTAACACGGTGAAACCCCGTCTCTACTAAAAATACGAAAACAAAATTAGCCAGGTGTGGTGGTGGGCACCTGTAGTCCCAGCCACTCGGGAGGCTTAGGCAGGAGAATGGTGTGAACACGGGAGGCAGAGCTTGCAGTGAGCCGAGATCCCACCACTGCACTCCAGCCTGGGTGACACAGTGAGACTCTATCTCAAAAACAAAAACAAAAACAACAAAAAAGGAAAATGTGGTTCTAAAAGGAATCCCTCCTCACTTTTTAAATAAAAAGCTTGCATTTCAAACACAAAGTGACAGATATATGTACCTCTGGTCCTACTAATGGGACACCAGCAAAAGCTATCTGATCGAGCCGGGCGCGGTGGCTCACGCCTGTAATCCCAGCACTTTGGGAGGCCGAGACGGGTGGATCACGAGGTCAGGAGATCGAGACCATCCTGGCTAACACGGTGAAACCCCGTCTCTACTAAAAATACAAAAAAATTAGCTGGGTGAGGTGCCTGTAGTCCCAGCTACTTGGGAGGCTGAGGCAGGAGAATGGCGTGAACCCGGGAGGCGGAGCTTGCAGTGAGCCGAGATGGCGCCACCACACTCCAGCCTGGGCGACAGAGCAAGACTCCGTCTCAAAAAAAAAAAAAAAAAGCTATCTGATCTAGCCAAATCCAGGGAAAGCACTTCATCTGCATATTCGGCCCAGGACCACTTATAACTTAAAGAACCGTATTTCAAATTAGCCACCACACCTGGAATTTTTTTTTTTTTTTTTACACAGAGTCTCACTCCGTCACCCAGGCTGGAGTCGAGTAGTACGATCTCAACTCACCACAACCTCCACCTCCTGGGTTCAAGCAAGTGGCTGGGACTACAGGTGCATGCCATCACGCCCCGCTAATCACACCTGGCTAATTTTTTGTATTTTTTGTAGAGACAGGGTTCCATCACGTTGCCCAGGCTGGTCTCAAACTCCTGGGCCCAAGCAATCCTCCTGCCTTGGCCTCCCAAATTGCTGACATTACAGGAATGAGCCATGGTGCCTGGCTAGAATCTTTTTTGGGAAGTGGAAAAGTGTACATTATAGAATTTACCATTTTAAACCATTTTTAGGTGTACAGTTCAGTGCACTAATACATTTGTATTGAGCAACCATCACCAACACCCACCTCCAGGACTACTTCATTCCATACTGAAACTCTGTATCCAGCTGAAATTAACCATTTTAAAGTGAACAATTCAGTGTTGGCTGGGTGCAAAGCCTCATGCCTATAATCCCAGCACTTTGGGAGGCTGAGGTGGATTACTTGTGCCCAGGAGTTTCAGGCTATAGTGGGTTATGATCATGCCACTGCACTCCAGCCTGGGTGACAGAGCAAGACCCTGTCTCAAAAAAAAAAAAGAAAAAAAAAAAACCAAAAACTCCAAAAAACAAACCCCCACAATCCAGTGGCATTTAGGACATGCACTTTTGTTTGTTTGTTTTTTAAGACAGAGTCTTGATCTATCACCCAGGCTGGAATGCAGTGGGTTCGATCTTGGCTCACTGCAACTTCCACCTCCCAAGCTCTGAGGTTGAGGCGATTCTCCTGCCTCAGCCTCCTGACTAGCTGGGATTACAGTCATGCGCCATCACACCTGGCTAATTTTTTTGTATTTTTAGTAGAGATGGGGTTTCACCATGTTCCCCAGGCTGGTCTCAAACTCCTGACCTCAGCTTATCCGCCCACCTGGGCCTCCTGAAGTGCTGGGATTATAGGCATGAGTCACCGAGCCCATCCTAATTTTTTATTTTTTTGTAGAGATGGTGTCTCGCTGTGTTACCCAGGCTGGTCTCAAACTCCTGGCCTCAAGTGATCCTCTCGGCTCAGCCTCCCAAGGTGGTGGGATTATAAGCGTGAGCCACTGAGCCTGGTTTTTTAATAAAAAAGGTTTTTTTGTTTGTTTTAATTTTAATATAGAGACAGCATCTTACTATGTTGCCCAGGCTGGTCTTGAATTCCTGGCTTCAAGTGATCCTCCCACCTCGGCCACCCAAAACGCTGGGAGTATAGGTGTGAGACACCATGGCTGGCAAAATTGTTTTCTTAATTCCATTTTCAAGCCCAGCATCTCTTTTCCTCCTACTGTAGACATAAGTATACTGGGCTAAGAAAATGTCTACGTTAGGGGATGGTTTGTCAGCATAGCCCGGTATAGCATCCTGTACTGCTCGATTCTACCTGAAGTACACCTGCTCCTTTGTGAACCACTAAATTACACATGACTTGGGCTGCCTCTAAGTCCAGACCCCTGCCAATTCGTGCCTCTTATCTTCACTCTCTGTGACTGTGAAGCTTGGCTTGCCTCCTGTACTCTCACTGAGGTTCTGTTTTATCTTAACCATCTTTCTTTCTTTCTGATGGTAAACAGTGTCTGTGGCCACTCAGTCACCTCGCTTTCCTTTTCTACTTTCTCCATCTCTCTCTCTTTTTTTTTTTTTTTTTTGAGATGGAGTCTCACTCTGTCACCTAGCTGGAGTGTAATCGTGCAATCTCGGCTCACTGCAACCTTCGCCGCCTCAGTTCAAGTGATTCTCCCGGCCTCAACTTCCCAAGTAAATTGGATTACAGGCACGCACCACCATACCCAGCTAATTTTTGTATTTTTAGTAGAGACAGGGTTTCACCATGTTGGCCAGGCTGGTCTCGAACTCTTGACCTCAGGTGATCCACCCACCTTGACCTCCCAAAGTGCTGGGATTACAGATATGAGCCACTGAGCCTGGCCACCCTCTCTCTCTTTTCTCTGCTAATTCTGCCCTTACAGCCTTCTCTTCTAGTTTTCTTAGAAAACAGGTCAAGCACACAGTTATCTTCTACAATTTTCATGTCCTAGACTCCCTTCAGCTATTTTGGTCACTGTTTGCTTTTACAGGTGTTTTGGTTATTTATAAGTTATGGCTATTATAGGAGCTTGACAGTGTCAAGTATGCAGCATTAGATAAACAGTGAGATTCTACTTAAGGTTTTTTGTTTTGTTTTGTTTTTTGATACAGTCTCCTGTCACCCAGGCTGGAGTGCTGTAGCATGATCTTGGCTCACTGCAACCTCAGCCTCCCGAGTTCAAGTGATTATCCTGTCTCGGCCTTCCGAGTAGCTTCCGAGTAGCTGGGATTACAGGCATGCGCCACCATACCTGGCTGATTTTTGTATTTTTAGTAGAGACAGGGTTTCGCTATGTTGGCCAGGCTGGTCTCGAATTCCTGACCTCAGGTGATCCGCCCGCCTCGGCCTCCCAAAGTGCTAAGATTACAGGCATGAGCCACCGTGCCAACCCAAATTTTGTTGGTCATTAATTACCAACTGTTACAGGGCTAAGGGAGTGAGACACAGTCCATGTCTTCTGTAAATTCATGACCAGGGCACACTTCTTCCACTCTCACACTGTTCCTTCTCACTCTAGTTGTATTTGGGTATATATAGGGACTATATATACCCACTACATAGGGAATTTTTTTTTTAAGCTCTGTTACGTATCTATGACCGACTTAGATGTCTCCTCTTCAAAAGCTGTGTAGGAATATGAGGATAATAATTTTGAGCCAATGTGAAGTGAAAAAAAAAATATGTAAGTATCGGTAGCTTAAAACAACAGAATGGACTAGAAAAAATTTTAATAACCTGTTTTATTGCCACTGACTCAAGAGGAAGCTTCATTAACACCCAAACACCCATAAAGGGGTACTGGCTGGTCCCCGAGGAAGCCAGATGGCATGAAGGCAGGCAGGCTTGCTGACTAGCTATTTCCTGCCCAAGCAGGCAGAGCTGGTTTTCCTTGTTTATTTCAGTGGTTACGCTTTCTCACCCCTAAAATTTCCCCACTCTTTGTCTTTAACATCCTTGCATATATCCTTCACATGCCTCCAAAGATCTCCACAAACCCAGTCCTGCCAAGGCCACATGCATTTCCCATCACCACATGCTGGTCAGAAATGAAGGGTGCCTTGGCAAGACAGGCTATATACAATTTCACAAGGCCTTGCCTGGGTTCAAATCCTGGCTCTGTCATTTACCAGCTGAGTGACCTCAGTAAGTCCCTTAGTCACTCTGTATCTCCATTTCCTCATCTGTAAAATGGGGAAATTTTATCTACCTCACAGGGGATTTAAGGATTGAGTTAATATTTGTAAAATACCTATAATTGGGCCTGGCCAATTAGATACGCGTCAGCACATAGGGAATCTTTTTCTTAAAAAAAGATATCTATTAACCATCTGTGACTTAGATGTCTCTTCTTCAAAAGTTGGGTAGAAATACGAAGGTCATAATTCTGAGCTAATATGAAGTGAGTTTAATAGGCCAGCCAGT